GTGGTGCCGTGCCCCCGGGGGGCCCGGTGCTGGGGGGAGCCGGGGGACCACCCTCCGGCCCAGCCACCTCTCCTACCCAGGGACAGCAGAAGTGTGGCTATCCTGTAGAAAAGGAAAATCGAGGTCTGGGAGGTGTCGCCCTGGGAGAGTGGGCATTAGACATTGAGGAGCACAATTTATCACTTTTAAGAATTAGCTTTTACTTGGATAATTTTCACTGCAACTTATTTTTTTTATATGTATTTTTTTGGAGAGGTTTTTGCTATAGGGCGCGTGCGCTTGCCAGACAGACAGAGAGAGACAGAGAGACAGAAAGTGAGAAATCACCCCCCAGGGGGGATGGCCATGCCGCAATCCCTTCTCCTCCATTCTCCTCCCGAGATCTTGGGCACACATGCACACGCGCCTGGCATGAATTTAAGCCACTGGGTCCGGGACTCGAACCGCAGTCGACTACATGGGAGTCCAGCGACATAGCCAATACTGCTGGTCCCACTGCAACTTGTTTTTTCTCTAAAAAAGTTACATAAGTCACTTCTTATAGATGGTCCCACAGAGTCTATATCCCCTTCTCCCTTCGGAGACTTGAGCCAACCGGGAACCCGCAATTAGCAGATGTGATTCGGGCACGCTGGCACCCAGCCTCGCAGTCCACACGGCGGAATGGTCACTTGCCTGCTCTCCGGCCACTGCTCTGGACGAGTGCGTAGGCACAGGCCGTGTGGCGCTGTCTGTGACCTCGCTGGCCAGATGAGCCAGCCCTGGCTGTGGCCCCAGGTGTGGAGACGCCCACAGCCTGGTCACCAGGGGCGGTTTGTGTGTTTCAGCTGGCGGTGGCAGTGACCTCAGACTCTGGACGGTGAACGGGGACCTGGTGGGACACGTGCACTGCAGGGAGACCATCTGCTCCGTGGCCTTCTCCAACCAGCCCGAGGGCGTGTCTGTCAACGTGATCGCCGGGGGCTTGGAGAATGGGGTCGTCAGGTACGGGGGTGCGGCCGCTCACTCACCTCCGTCTGTAGACGGTTCTGAGACCGGTTCCCAGTGTCTAGGCCTGCTGACAGGTACTTAGAAGGTTGAGATCGCCTTTGGACTCCTGTTTATTTCTGAATGTAGACAATTCCAGGGTGGCTTAAAAATTTCATGTTAACTCTAAAAAACTGTGAATGTACAGAAAGTTGAGTCCCCCTTCCTACCTTCACCCCTGCAGACTCCCTGGGGTCACTGTGCTGCTTTTTAGACGACTTTCCAGATGACTTTAGCAGCAGGCAGCCGGGGGGCTAGCGAGCTAGTCCGGGTGCGGAGCTAACTGGTGCCACCTTCCAGGCTGTGGAGCACGTGGGACCTGAAGCCTGTGCGAGAGATCACCTTCCCCAAGTCCAGCCAGCCCATCGTGAGGTAAGCCACCGTCCCTCGCGGTGTGGCGTGGACTGCGTGTGGCCGCTGGCAGCATGCCCAGGAAGCCATGGGGTGGCAGACACTGCTTCTCCTCTGTCACGGAAAAAGGCTACAGCGGTCACCTGTAGACACACACAGCAGTCACCCTTTACTTCGTTAAACAGGCTTGGCTTTAAAGACTCAATAGGAGCCCAGCGATTTAAATTTTACTTTATTAAAATAGATTTATTTTCAGGGCCAGCAGTTGGCATAATGGCTATGTCGCTGGACTCCCACATAGTCAACCGTGGTTCACGTCCTGGACCTGGTGGCTTAAACTCACACCAGGCACATGTATGTGCGTGCCCAAGATCCTGAGAGGAGAATGGAGGAGAAGGGATTGTGGCGTGGCCATCCACCCCCCGGGGGGGGTGATTTCTCGCTTTCTGTCTCTCTGTCCCTCTCTTTCCGGCATGTGCACGTGCGCTATAGCAAAAACCTTTCCCCAAAAAAAGAAAGAAAAAGTAGATTTATTTTCAGCATCAGAGGGTGCTCTTTTTCTCTTTGGCAAGCACACACATGCCTTCTGGCAATTCAAGTCTTACCAAGCCCACGTTTATCTTTTTTGTATTAATCTTTTTTTTCACCCTTTTCTCTTTCAGAGAAATTAAATATACCCATAAAATAGTCATCATTTATTTCTGTGAGGAGAAAATGTAGTAGTTATGTTTTTCAAGTTTCCTACCCCTAGGTATTTGTCATGTGGGTAACAACGCAGGAACAAGGAGAGAGACCGCAGAGGGGAGAGGTCCGCCTGGCCCGGGAGCCGTGCCCGTCCTCCGGCACAGCCCTGACACCCTTCCACTCACTTCAGTCTGAGGACCAAGACATTAACAAGGTTGTAAGAAATACGAGGTACAGGACCAGCAGATGGCATAGTGGTTACATTGCTGGACTCCCACAGGGCCAGCCGTGGTTCGAGTCCCGGACCTGGCGGCTTCAAATTCATACCATTGCGTGTTCACGTGTACTCAAAATCCCAACAGGAGAATGGAGAAGGGAGTGTAGCACGGCTGTGCCCCCTGCGGGGTGACTTCTCGCTTCCTGGCTGTCTCTCTGTCTCTCTGGCCACATGCACACCCGGTAGTAAAAATCTGTCCGAAGGAGAGACAGGTGCAGGTGAGGTGTTTGCCTTGCAGCCTGACGTTCTCCTGTGACGGCCACCATCTGTACACCGCCAACAGCGAGGGGACCGTGATCGCCTGGTGTCGGAAGGACCAGCAGCGCCTGAAGCAGCCCATGTTCTATTCCTTCCTCAGCAGCTACGCAGCCGGGTGAGCGAGAGGACGCCACACCCTTCAAGGCAGTCACTGTGACCCGGAAGTGCAGGCTTGTCCATGCAGGGGTTGAACCTGAGGACACGGGATGGCCCCACCACTGTTCAGATAATGATCAGGCCCGTCCATGGCACACGGCTGTGCAGCCTCAGGCCTCACCGTGGTGCCTGGGGGGCCGTGGCACTGGCACTGAGCAGCCCGTGGAAGTCGGACACGGTCAGTGACATCATGGTTCTTCACGGTTTCCCCACAAAGGCGTCCCAACGAGAAGATCAGGGTCTCCCTTTTCTCTGTTGTTCCAAAAGGGCCCATGGTGTGGAGCTGGTGAGCCACTTCCCTACAGCAAATACTCTAAAATGTGTATTTAAACCATTTCTGCCACGAAATACTCTCCCTGTAAAAAAAACAAAGAGAAAGAAGGAAAGAATTTTCAGGACTCAGCTTTCTTTGGGAAGCAGATTATACATTGGGCCTCTGCGTTGGACATTCTGTGGCACATCTGAGCCCTAAGAGCACAGACTACCAGAGTCTCCCATCAGATAGTTCTTGCCAGTCGCCTTCTTAGCTCAAAAGAGAACCAGATTTTTGACAGCTACAGACAAGAGTACGGGTGTCTTTTATTGGAAACACAATTTGCATCTTTTTTTCCTTTAGAGAGGTTTTTGTTATAGGGCACATGCGCTCGCCAGAAAGACAGAGACAGACAGAGACAGAAAGCGAGAAATCACCCCCCAGGGTGATGGCCACGCCGCAGTCCCTTCTCCCGCATTCTCCTCTCAGGATCTTGGGCACGCATGCATACGCGCCTGGCATGAGTTTAAGCCACCGGGTCCAGGACTCGAACCACAGTTGGCTGCATGGGAGTCCAGCGACATAGCCATTATGCTAACTGCTGGTCCCACAATTTGCATCTTAACAGTTTTACTTAACACCCATAACACTAGATACTGAATATCCTTTCTTGAGTCACTAAGTTTGAAACTTGATAAGTCTCCCCACCTCTGCCATTTACAGAACACTGAATACCTAGCCAATTTTCAGGGAAAGGCCTCCAGTGTGCAAGGGCAGATACGTGACCTACATAAAGTATTTAATCTGATCGGCGGGAAGAAGTTTCTTCCCCAGAAACAGAATTACAAAGAGAAGAAGACAGGCTTTGTCTAAGCAGAGGCAGAGTCCTCCTCGAGGAGACGAACTCGGTCTCTGCTCCCTGTACCTCTTGAGGTCCCAGGGCACCCCACAGCAGGCTTCCGCCCCAGCCAGACCGAATCCTGATGTTAGGCCGTGGGACGATCAGTCCCACCATGACGCCACGCTGTCCTCGCTGGGTGCTGCTTCCCCGGCTTCGGAAACACTGCAGAATAAGCTCAGTAATGCATTACCATGGATCGAGACGTGGACTCCTGCCTAAGCATAGCTTCATATTCGTTACGAAGATTTCATTCATAAGGTGTTTACAGAACTGCTTTTGTAACTTCCAGACTTTCTAAAACATTCTGGTTAAAAACTATAAAAATACAGCTCCGAAGTCTGTGTGGCCCAGAGGTCCGAAAGCACGGTGGCTGGAGAGCCCCGGCCTCCACCGGCCCTTCCTCCACCCTGCAGCCCACGTGGGTGCAGAGACGAGACATTCCTATTCACGTTGAAGTGATTTGCTTTGTTTTTTTTTTTTTTTAATGCAGCTATTGTCTAGCTTTCATTTTTTTACTGAAAAGTTTAAATTAGTTTCCTATGAGAATAGGGACTGCTACTAGTCTTTTTTTTTTTTTTTTAAAGGCCGGATTTCATCATTTATCTAAATGGAAAATATGCAAAATAACTGTTCTTGGTAAGAGTGCAATATTATATTTTTATGTAAAAATAAAAGGTACCGTGGGGTTATTTATCCAGCATGGCCCTGACGTGTGTGAGTCCCTTGCGATGTGCACCCCTGCGCTCACGGCCTGTTACCTTTCACACTGTCACCCGGTTTCGGAATAAACGTCATGAAAGCAGCGGCCTGTGCCTTTCCTTTGTCCAGCCTCCATGTCACGGCCAGTCTCGGGCCGCTTCCGGATATCAGCCACACGGGCGGCTCTGGCTCTCCGTGAACCTCGTCACTGGGAGATAGTCCGTGTCTCCGTGTGACTTCTGTACCAGAAGCCTATCTTCCAGCTCCTCCTCTTACATGAGGCTTGGACGTCAGCTCCAAACTCAGCTCACTTATTCCCAGGAAAGCCTGTCCCGCCACCGCAGGCCTGCATGGGGCCTTCTGTGCCAGGGCACACCACGTGTGAGACGTGTGGCACCAGGTGGGGTCGTGGCTGCACTCAGGCACCTCCCTCATCAGCCAAGGAGGCCTGCCGCCCAGGTGTCAGCAGGCTTCCCAGGTGAGGGCCTGCCTCCCAGGTGAGGGCCCGCCTCCCAGGCAGAGCCCGCCTCACAGTTAGAGCCCACCTCCCAGGTGAGGGCCCACCTCCCAGATAGAGCCTGCCTCCCAGGTGAGGGCCCGCCTCCCAGGTAGAGCCTGTAGCCCAGGTGAGGGCCCGCCTCCCAGGTGAGAGCCTGTCTCCCTGGTAAGAGCCTGTAGCCCAGGTGAGGGCCCGCCTCCCAGGTGAGAGCCTGTCTCCCAGGTAGAGCCTGTAGCCCAGGTGAGGGCCCGCAGCCCAGGTGTTCTCTCTTTACCTGGAGGCCCGAGTCTGGTCCTTCCACTGGGTTCACTGAACACCAGGCCTGGGTGAGTCCTGGGCAGCTGGTGGGGTGGGCAGTGGGGATTCGGACTCGCAGCCTCAGCTCGTCCCATGGTCTTGCTCACCACTGTGGAGGGCTTGCTTGTGTGCCAAGGCAAAGAGGAACTACAAGGCCAATGCTTAGGAAAGCAAATGGGGCCAGCCCGTGGCACAGCAGCTCAGCCCTGTGCAGAGAAGCCAGGTCCCACATGGCCACCCACAGTTCAAATCCTGATCCTAGTGGCCTGAGGAAGTTTGAGCATGTTCCCACCTGCCCAGGAGCCCAGCGTGCCCAGGATGGAAATGGAGGCAGTGGCAGCTGTGATGTGGGCAGGCCTCGGCTGGGCGCCTTCTCTAGCTCTCGGCCCTCTCCTCCTCCTCTGCTGTGTGTGTGCACCTCCTGGTGGAAACAAGAGGAAGAGGAAGGAAACGGGCCAGGAGGGAAGGAAGCCCAGGGCCAGGTGGACTTTCTCGGCCATCCCGGAGAGGTATTTGATGGCTGGGGTGGAAGCCTGGGCTTGCCTGTGTCCCCAGGTCACGCCTCCCTTGTCCCAGTGGCTGACTGTCCCACCTCCTGCACATGTTAGACATTTACATCCCAGCAGCAGGTGGCGTGGTGGTTAAGGGCACTGGACTCCCACGTGGCTGAGCATGGTTCGAGGTCTGGACCTGGTGGCTTGCTTTCTCACTTTCTCTCTCTGTCCTCTCTCTCTCCCTCTCCCTCTCTGGTCAAATTTAAATAAATAAAGTTAAATAAAAATCTTAAAATATATATATAACATGTTGTGAAACCAAAGCACACTGATTAAAGAGGCTCAAACTGAACCAAAAAGACCAGGGGAGGCCCCATGGGTCGGGGCAGAGCAGAGGGCAGGGACAGACCACAGAAGTGCCCTGGGAAGAACAGCTTCAAACTGAGGTCAGGAAACAGGGTTCTAGCCTCAGCACGAGCCGGTATTCAGGAGAGTCCCACGGGGGAGCCACGTCACACGCAGAGTGATGTTTTCCCCAGGGCGACGGCGTTTTAAACTCCACAATTAGAGTAGCTACATTCGCCAAAGCAAGCGCACCCTACACCGTACTGAGGCGGGAGGTGCCGCGGCCTAACCGTGTGAGACACGTGGCCAGAAGGATGTGTCCCGCCACTGTGGGGACACTGCGTTGCTGCTGCCACGTGAGGGGCGTCCACGTCCACGGAGTCGGCTGATGACCCGGGCCAGCTGCGGCCTCGGGCTCGAGCTCCGGCTTGATCCGTCCTCTATGAGCAAAGCTCATGAAAAGATTGTTCCATGGCCAAGTTCGATTCATTTCCCAGTGAGTGACCCTGGTCTTAACCCAAACCTCCGAACACAGAAACCACAGGCCGCTCTTGGATTCTGACGGTCCATTCGTTAAGCTAATTTGCCTTCCTGGTGAATGTAAATACACAGCAAGCACTTAGGAGGGCTAAACTCAAAGTACTCATAAATGAAGCTCTTGGATTGTGGGACACGTGATCCTAGTTTATTAAAAGTGGGTTTTCTGGGGGCCAGCAGGTGGCGCAGTAGTTAAGACACTGGACTCCCATGTTGGACAACCAAGTCTCAGCTTGAAACACACTGGGTATGTGTGCGTGCATGCCAAAAATCCCTGGAGGAGAATGGAGGGGATGCCATCTGTCTGGGGAGTGGTGCCTCAGTTTCTGTCTTTCTGTCTCTTGTCTCTTGGCAAGTACACACTCCCTAATAGCAAAAAACTCAATAAAAAAAAAAAAGGACTACGTGAATTCAGCAAAACCTTCCTTGCTAATATAAACATTATTTTAACTTTTTTTTAAAAAGTTGCTTTGGGCCCAGCAGGTGGCGTGGTGGTGAAGGCATCTGGAATCCACATGGCCAACCGCGACTTGAGTCCCAGACTCAGCAGCTAGAGAATCAGGCCAAGCACATGTGCATGTCCCCAGAATCCAGGAGCAGGGACTACAGCATGGCCATCCCCTCGGGGAGGTTCTTTTCCTCTCTCTCTTTCTCTGTCTCTGTCTGTCTCTGGCAAATGCACACATTCTTAGGCAAATCCTTAAAAACAAAAACAAAAAAGCTTTAAAATCCTTGGACTCTAGTCCCAAGAGTGCAAGAAAAAAGCTTTTTCTGTGGTTCTTAGTAAAAATTCAGCTATGTCTCTCACGCTATGACCTAAGTACTGTGATGATCTAACCCGTTATAGTCTCTCTCCTTAATCTCTCACGGAGCAGTGTTTTACTATAACCCAGGGGAGCCTGCCCATGCGTGCACCTACACAGGTCAGGGCCGGACATCTGTTTTACTTTCTAGAGTGACCTGGGCCCCACGGCTAAGAAAAGTGTGCGTCGAATGCGTGCGTCGAATTCCGAGCGACCTGCGTTGGAGTCCCCGCTGCCCTTCCCTGGGTGCATATTTATTTTGCACACTTTATTTTAATGCCAGGGCCTTGTGCATGACGCAGGGGGCAAGCAGGAACACTTGTGAGCACCCACACGGGCCCCAAGGCCTGGCACGCTGCAGTCCTCTCTCCTCCACTCTCTGTTGTCACAACCCCAGGCGCCAGCACACGCTGGGGCATGTGTTCCAGGACACCAGGCCAGGAGGGCGCTGGCACTGGGGGGACCAGGGATAGCCCAGACCCACAGGCTGGTCCTAGCTGGATGGGAGGCTGCGGCAGGAGGGTCGCCTCCTGGTGGCGGTCCCCTTCCCTGTGTTAGGAAGGTCGCCCTGTCAGGAATACCGAGCTGGTGTCTCACCTCACGGCCCTGAGCGTCCCCCACACACCAGATGGGAGACTCCGCAGGCAGAGAGCCCAAGGGACTGGGGACTGGGGCTTCTGAAGAACCTGACAGCCGCGGGTCCGAGGAACGGCGGGCACGGGTCAGGCTGGGCTCCCAGAGACCGGGGAGTCAGTGCGTACTAAGACTGATGCCGGCGAGGTCGCCAGCGAGGCCCAGCTGCCCACGAAGGGGCGGGAAGCGGGCAGCGGTTGGGAGGGGATGAAGGCGGAGGGGCGGCCAGCGTGTGGGGATGGGGGT